TAAGCAACTTTTGGTTTGTTTTTATTGATAGACTCATTCTTTGCAGGAAGAGACTTGTGTTTGACTTCCTTTTAATATCACAAAGCTGTAGATCTAGGTTATTTTCAGTGCCTGGAAGAAGGAGTATCTAGAACAGTTTCTGAATATCATTCTACTACACATAGTCTTGTCCCAGATGTCTTGTATGAAGAAATGTCTTCCCTGTAGCTGGACTGCTTGAAGGATAGTATATATTCTGCTCAGATATGAACACACGAAAGCTGTTTTGCAGAATCTGAAGCTGCTTCTTGCCAACAATCGCACACACTGATATGTTGATCTGTGATTCTGAGTGATAATTGCCATCATTTAAGGTTTTACTATTTTTTAGTTGAGTATACAGATTTCATAATAACGTTTCACTTAGTGCAATCCTGTACCTTGACTTTTAATACTGTTTGGTTTATTCCTGTGAGGCTTACTCCCAGGGGATGGCATACAGGAGGGCAACTTAGTGACCATAAGTATTGCAAGAAGAGAGCTTTTAACATTGTCTGATCTTATATTCCAGAGGTAACCACAGGTGAATAAACATAGCCATTTGATGATGGTAAGTGGTCATGCAAGCACTTGGTAAGCTGAATCCATTACAGGTGACCAAACTACACTTCAGTGACTTCTTCTACTCTTGACTGTGTATGTTTTTTTCCTAAGAGACAAAGCAGTCTTTTACACATCTGTGTCTGGTGTGTATAAGACTGTGGTAAATTGCATAATAAAAGTGTTTGTATGTGGGAGCCTTCCCCAACTTGGTGTCTATCTGATGAGTCAGAACTACAGTTGCCACCATTCCCAAGTTATTGGCTGTGACAGAATTTCCATAATATCTTAGCAAGGGGGCAGTGAAAGTCTTTTCACATTTGCATACTGCAACTCTGGGAAGGAGCTGAGAGAAACATTCTCCCAATCATTTAGCAGAATAATACTGTTGGCTGGCTAATTGGTTACATAGTCAATTACTACCTGGCAAATAGCCCTGTGTATTCACCCTGTGGCCAGAAGGGAATATCTCATTAACAGAACAGTCATGTACTGTGGAAAGCCACACCTCTTGCCCTTACTAATTCTGCCATGTGCTCAAATTACACTGTCACTTAAAACAAATTGTAACAGAATTAAGAGGCTTAAAGAAACCTACAAAATGAAATGCATAAGTGTGTTTCATTGCTAATAATATACTTTATTATTATTGACTTGGGTTGACTTTTCTATTCATATTAGCTGCCATTTATGTTCAAAAGGCCACTCTGGATTGTTGTTTATCATGGACCATGCTCTTTGGAGTTCTTGAGAGCAAACATTGGACTGGAATCCCACAAAGAAATATATGAGTTTGTTTCTTCCTATGCATGCAGCTTCCACTGCAACCCCATCTATTGTCTCTGGTTTGGCACCTTTTCCTTCCTTGGTGTTACTGCTCTTGTGCTATGAGCTCTGTAAGACATTTCTGTCTGTCCATAGAAAGGGATGAGGATAGTATGTCCTGTTTGTAATTCAAGAAATTAACCAAGTTCCAGCCTCAACAGCTGAAGTCAATCCTGTTTGTGCATCCTGTGCTCAGCAATTGGGAGGGTTGCCTTTTTCCAAGGCATGGTGTCCATTCCATGTTGTGTCTTCTACTTCAGCCATGCTTCTTTCAGCTGAACAGTTAGAGATGTTAATCTGTAGGAAGTTGACTTTTTTGCATAGTTGCTGCTTGAAAACATTCTATGTCTGTGTTGGTGAACCTCTGGCATGTGTGCCATGTTTGGCACGTGAAGCCATTTTGGAAGGCATGCAAACAGGAGGGCAGGGGAAGAAGAGGAACAGGCATGTGCCTGTTTCTCCTCTTCCCTGCTGTCCTGGGCCTTTAGCTGTCTCCAGACAGGCAGCTGAAAGCCTGGGAGAGTGGGAGGAAGAGGAAGAACAGGAGTGCACCTGCACCTCCTCTTCCCTGCCGTCCCCTCTGGATAGGCAGCTGAGGGCCCGAGTGGGGGGAAGAGGAGGTCCCACCCCCGGAAGGTGGAAGTCCCACCCCTGGAAGTCCTGCCCCCCAGCACAGAGTAACACCCGATGCCAGAACAACTTTAAATTCAGGCACTCCATCTCTAAAAGGTTCACCAACACTGTTCTATGTGGTGCTGTGATCATGTAAGGAGCTGATCAGTTGTAGACTCCAACCACATGGAATGTCAAGTCCTACCACAGCCTTTCATTCTTCCACATTGTTCTTGGATTACTCTTCAGTTTCTCTTCCCCATTTAAATTTACCACAATTCCCACATTGGCTAATCCAGAACTAATTCTGCTTCTTAGGTATGAAAAAAGTAATATGATCCTTGTGCATTGTGAAATTATAAGGCAGCACTACTCAAAGTGGTGGTCCCTGTACTGTGGCCAGTCCAAGAGCCATTCGCTGCCAGTCTCTGGTACATTGGAAAATAATAATTAGTGGTTGCCCACATCAGGTAATAAGCAGCACAGTTGTAAGGCATATAGATGTTGGAACCTTTTCCATTAATATAAATGCTCGTTAATTGTACCTTGGTGTCTTTCATATACTTTGTCAGTAGGAGAGAAATTAATTAAAATGGAAACCATTGACTGTTTTCCTTATCAAAGACAAATGAATTTTATTATTCTTTAGTAAGTAGTAGTTCCCAGTATAGTGTAGGAAGCAATGTGATCTAGTGATTAGAGCAGGGGTAGGCAACCTTTCCCCTTTAAGGGCCGAGGGACTTCAGCTTCCAGAAGCCTCAGCCATGTTGGCCAATAGTCCCATGTTGGCCAATAGCTCCTGGGATTCTGGGAGGTGAAGTCCCTCGGCCCTTAAAGGGGAAAGGTTGCCACCCCTGGATTAGAGTATTGGACTAGGACTCTGGGAGAACAGGGTTTGAATCAGTCATGAAAACCCACAGGGTGACCTTGGTTAAGTCACCCTCTGATCCCTTCTGAATAAATCATTCCAATAAACCAGGGATAGGCAACCTTTCCCCTTTAAGGGCCGAGGGACTTCAGCTCCCAGAACCCCAGGAGCTATTGGCCAACATGGGACTATTGGCCAACATGGCTGAGGCTTCTGGGAGCTGAAGTCCCTCGGCCCTTAAAGGGGAAAGGTTGCCTACCCCTGCAATAAACCTTTATTTAGGTTCTCCTTGGGTTGCCCAAGGGTGGCTTGAAGGCACACAACAAGAAGTTCCCAGTTTCTAACATATAGTTCTGGCAAATACGGTAGTATGTTCACAGGTGAAAGCCTGGAAGTTCTGGAGGTGCCTCCTAGAAGGTGCTTTTTGACCACTCCTAGAATTACCCAGTCATGATTGTTGTAAACCACATGTGGAATTGCAACTGACTTCCCACACTTTTGGAGAGGAGAGCATAGTTTGTGTGTGTATGTGTCCACACTTGTTTTTAACTGAAATATGTATTTTAGGTCATCACAAACCACCTCTGAGGATTCCTTGCCTAAGAAACCACTATGAAAATGCATGGGGTCACCATAAGGTGATGGGCAACTTGAAGGCACATGCACATTTTTTTTTAAAAAAAAAGCACACTATTTTTTTTTTCTAATGGAAAAGCTGATACAGCCGAATAGTAATGGTAGGCAAACTCCCTCCACTCCTTATCAGTCATTGAACCTGTCAAAACCACAGTTTTTTAAAAAGAGAGAGAGAGAGAAAGGGGGGGAAAGCGAAGCACTAATGTGATGTACAGTCATGGAGCCAGCACTACGGTTTCATGCTTTCCAAAAACAAGAGGTTTCTGTGGACAAAAGCAGAGATATAAGAATCACATGGGAAAACATGGGTGTAATGATTTGATGGCTGAGTTATGTACCGTACATGTCTCATAAAAAGTGAATGTCCAAACTATTCTAAAGTGAATACTTACAGACATAATAAGCATTATCCACATATAACTCCTGGACTCTGTTGTGGTGGAATCAATACTTAAACAGAGACCACTCATTCAAAATGAAAATACTTCCATCACCTCCAGTGAGGTAGGTGCTCAATTCCTAATGGTGCTTATTATCTGTGGGATCGTTTTCTCTGCCCACTCTTCCCTTGAACATCTCTATTGCTTGATCCAAAAGGCAGCCTAGAAAAACATGCTGAATATCCTGCTCATCCTTTTTTGTGTTCAAAATATGCCATCTTCTGTACCAGAAAAATAGAATTAACTAATGTTGCTTTTTCTAGTATAGAGATTCTGTAAAGGGGGAAGGTAGATTTCTAACTGATGAAATATAGTGATTGAAAGTGCAGAATCTCTGCCTGGGAAAGTGATGACAATTCTACAAAGGCCCTTCTATCAAGAGCTGCCTTTGAAAGCTGGCCAAATAAGTATAGTATAAATCCTAATCAAAAATATAGAAATACTTTGATTTTTTTTTCCAAATCGCATTGTGAATTCCTTCATTGTGCAATTTTTTTAATGGGAAGGAACCAACACATTTATTATTTTTTTAACACATTATCCATGTGTGAAAATGATGACACTGCATGAGTTTGTTCATTATTTTACCCGTCGCTTCTGTCAAAATACATTAACATGAACAGGAGTTTTTGGTAATGAAAGCTGTGGGACCCAGCAATGTGAATTCGTGACAAATTTCTGTTGCTCTTAATGGCAATTTTGCACTCAAGTCTTTAAGGGTAACATATATATTAATTTGGGCAATCTGTTTTCAAGGCATTTGGTGTATCAAAAAAAACCAGTCAAACTCTGATGTGAGTTCGATGAACTTTAATTTTAGGTTATTTTGGAACCAGAAAGACCAGAGAAGAGCCTTTACCATAGGGCTGGGTAACTGTGGCCCTCATATTGCTCTTGGCTTACACTTCTCACTAGTCCTAGCAATCATATCCAAAATGAGGGATTATGGGAACTGTCATCCAAATGCATCTGGAGGGCTACAGTTCTCCACTGTGCTTTATCAAGTACTGTTTATGGTTCTTTTTATTGTAAATGACGAGATCCAGTATTGCATAGTGGTTTGAGTACTGGATTGAGACTCTAGAGATCAGGGTTCGATTTCCAGCTTGGATATGAAACCCACTGGGTGTTCATGGTCAAGTCACATGCTCTCAACCTCAGGGAAAGGCAATGGCAGACTTCCTCTAAACAAATCTTGCCAAGAAAACCCCATGATAGAATTGCTTTAGAGTCACCATAAGTTGGAAGTGACTCGAAGGCACACAACATCAACATTGTTAATGACACCATTTGATGCAAAGTACTACACATTGCTGACAACCCTTATAGCAAGAGAGCCTTACTGCTGTATGGTAGGAAGATCACATTAATGAGTTAGATTCTGATTCACTTTTATTAGTTTTTTTTAACTACAAGAAATTAACCCTGTTCCAGAAACAAGAAAAAGTAGCCTTTTTCAGATTATTTCCCTTTTGTTAGTTTTTCCCCTTTTGTTGTGGGGCAGCTCTGATTGGGATCCTCTGTTGTGTTTTTAAAAAAAGATCACCAATGCCTGTCTATACGGTTAAATATGCTTTTCTGCAAAACCAAGCATTGGCCATCACAGCTGCTCATCTTTATTTCCATGATGCAAACATCACCCAGCCACCCCAATGCCACTGTAATCTACATTACTGTTGTATTCAAACCAAGTAAATGAATAAAGTTTTGAACTTTATTTTTCTCTTTGGGTACTTGCTTCATTCATTGTGTGGGTTTACATTTCCAAACTCTTGATTATAAGGTAAATTTTGTTCTAATGCGCAATAAAGGTTCAACTTGTGATTAAAAAACAAAAACTAATCCCTTCCCTCCTCTAGAAAAACTGTTGGAGGGCTATTCTTGGTGAAGAAATGCATTTTGTCTGCAGGTTCAGGCTCTTTTGGTGGCATGTTTATAGAGAAGTGAGTTAAATTGTTTTGGACCAAATTACAGATCAAGCCTTTTCAACTGTGCTGGGGCTATCTAATGAGGCAGGCTTATATGCTGTCCCCTTTCCTCTGTGTTTTGCAGTTCACACACACTCTGTGAGGGGTTCTGGAGGAAGCCATTCTTTACCTTGCCCATTATTGCATGGCCACAGTAGGCTCAGCTAGAGTAGATTCCCAGTCTTTCCCAGATCCAGCTTTACTTCAAGGTTTGCTGCAGACATGCTACAGCAACCTGGCACTGAAAGTGTCTGCTTCTCTAGCCCTCTTTCACCATCCTACCAATGCCAATGCTGCTTAAAAGCTTCCAGGTAGACAAAGGATAAAGAAGAAAAGAGGGTAGGGGACATAAAAAGACTTTAAAAAAAAAAAAAGCTTTATCAGAGGCTTTTGTTAACTGAGATATGCCTATACTTGTCCACATCTACTTAACGTGGCAGAGACTAAGCATGGCATAGTAGATTGAGTGTTGGACTATGATTCTGGAAACCAGGGTTCAATTCCTGGCTTGGCCATGAAATCCACTCGGTGTCCTTGGGCAAGTCACATTCTCTCAGCCTTAAAGGAAGGCAATGGCAAACTTTCTCTGAACAAATCTTGCCAAGAAAGCCCCATGATCAGTTCACCTTAGGGTCACCATAAGTTGGAAATGACTTGAAGGCATGCAACAACAGCAACTCAACATGGCTAACTCCCTAAGATGCTACTGTATGGTTTGCAAGGGGTTGGTGTCTAAACAGAATGCACATAACCAATTGCATCAAAATAACCAAGATCATATTCAGTGTGTGACTGCCATCTCCTCTGTGGGGCAGTCCTTGGGGTCTGCTTGCGGTACTGTATCTCAAATGATGGCTCATAGCAAGCAGGAGAGTCCTTTCCCCGCTACCCTTTAATTACTAGAGAATATGAAGCTTGCAGTTATAAATAGATAGCTTTATCTATTGACACTTAAAATCAAAGCAACATTTGTTATAGTGGTCAACAATGGGCACCAGTGATTAGGATGTGTATAGGCAAGTCACAGCAATGATTCATAGTAGAACCATTAGTGTGTATTTGGCAGGGTGGCAGTGAATTCCTTTATTCATTACCTGGTCTGTTCCCAAAGAATAATCCAAGGATTGTTGCTGAGTAAATGCAGTGCAAATTATACAACAAAGAGGAAACTGGCAGACCTGTGCATTATATAATATGGCTATAATTTACAGTGCTCAGAGTAATTGTGTCATTCTGGAAATCAAGCAAAGCCAGTGAAGCAAAGCAGTAAGTGGAATAAGTATTGTTTAATGTTAGAACACATTAAAGAAATGACAAGCCCACAGTGTGGCTGAAACAAATGCTTCCACAACACTGCCCAAAGATTCCCTTTCCTCTCTCATTATGGGTAAGTTGCATGGTTCTTTGCATTTCAAGAGAATAAAATTCTGATTGAGCTTGTTGATTCTTTGAGTAGATATGTGACTAGCTCTGATTAATTAAGCTGTGCCAGAACACAGTAGCCTTTTGCCTTTCCCAAACAGGAAAGAAAGGAGAACTGGAAGTGAATCCTGTGTTTTGAAGAGCAGATGAGACTGGCTTCAAGAGGCATGGGCCACCACCATATTCACAGAACACTTGCCCAAGGGAAAAGATGCTCATCCTAATGAGGAGGACACATTAATGCTCTCATCTTTTCAGTCTTTGTATTACAGTAAAAGCCATGTAAACTTTGTTGCCTGAAGTTGGACACTTCTCTGTAGGCTTTGGTGAGAGGTGGGAATATGGGCCATTCCAGATGTTGCTGTACTGTAGCTCCCATTGGCCCTAACCAGTATAGCCAGTGGTGAGAAATAATGGGAGTTGTGATTCCAACTTCCATCCTATGCTTTGGCAGATAATTGCAAATGAATCGACTCCTGAATGGGGCTATGGAGGCTTCAGAAGTGAGTGTTCCAGCTTCTCTTTTTTTACCAGAAAAAGAACCATAGAATTTTGTAGTGCTTCCACTGCTGAGGAACAGACTGCAAGACAGATAATATTAAAAGAGAGAGAGTGAATGGGTTGTGGATCTGAACAGCGGCACTAAGAGAAGGCTAAAGAGAGAGGTCTCAGAAGTCCTGTGGTATCACGCCAAACAGTATTCAATCACGCCAAACAGTATTCAAAGGGAGATTATTCATAGGATCTTGGATCACTGTTCTCAAGTTCCTGTTTCACATCACATGACTATCAGATCTACTGTGGTAGCACTTAAGGACTTGAAGTGGGATGGCATGTTGCAAGAGCTCCATGAGCAGTGTTGAAGAAAATAATGGTAAAGGCACCATCACAGGCATATTTCTTGGCTCACAGGTTTGGAATCTTTAAGCCAGTCCAGGCAGAACATTAAAAAAACCCAAAATGTATGAATACCTATGGCTGAGGTCCACTATAAGGAGACATATCTCTAACATCTAGCTATGCTACAACCTGCCACCATCATGTTCCCCTCTGCTGCAGCTCCACCAATATGGCCATTTTCATGTCAGAGGAGCAGTTGAAATCTGTCCAATTATTTTCTTTTAGCTGGACACACTGCAACACATGTTCTCAATTACTTCTGGGAGCCCTCAGGAGTTCCTGATGGTGACATTATAGCTGTAGGTCCAGCTAAAGGAAAAGTCTTCTCCCACAGTAGTATCACATTTTACATGGTTATGGTGCTATTATTCCACTTAAACTACTATAGCTGCCTCCTGTGGAATTCTGGGGGTTGTAGTTTAGTGAGGCCTAAGACCTCTCTGGTTGAGAATTCTAACTTTCCCTCCCTAAACTACAAATCTCAGGATTCCATAGGAAGCAGCCATAGCAGTGAAAGTGGAATGATATTACAGTGTAGTGCAATGGTTCTCAAATTGTGGGGCAGGACCCCTGAGGGGACACGAGTTGCTCAAGGGAATATGAGACATGGAGGCCCTGATCCCTCCTCCTCCACTTCCCAAACTTTTTTCTGTCTTGGAGGGGAAGAGAAAGCCAAGGAGGATGCTTGGAGCCTCTGACTGATGGAGGAGGAACAGGAGAGCTATTTCCTCATAAAATATTAGCATATGAATCTCTATTTTTTTCTGTATATTTAGAATTCCTTTATTTATTGTATAGA